CACTCTCAATCTCTCCTTCTGCCTCAGCAACACTGTTAATTCTTTGTCTGTTCCACTCTTGTCGACATCTCCCTCTTTTATCACTGTGATTATCTCTCGAAGGTTAGGGTCGGCTTTCTGATGTCGGACGAGTTCTAGGGGGTCTCCCTCTAGGCCGTTAACTGCACACGCTATCTCTGGAAGTTCGGCTTCGGTGTCCGGTCTTGACAAATAATCTGCCATTACATTTTCCTCCCCTGGCACATGCCCGATGCTAAAATCATACTCCTGCAGACGTAGCATCCATCGAGTCAACTTCCCACGGGGGTCTTTTGCTGTTGCCAACCATTGTAGGGGCTTATGATCCGTCTCGATGTGAAATCGCCGACCCAGTAGATACGGTCTCCATTTGTCTACCGCCCATACAATCGCTAAACACTCTTTCTACTGTGGAATACTTCTGTTCCGTCTGCGTAAGGACACGGTTGGCATAATCCACCACTCTGTCACACTGCCTCAAGACGGCAACTATACCGTGATCGCTCACATCAGTGGCCACTGTAAATGGTTTCTCGGGTTCCGGCAGTCTCAGCGTCATTCGGCGCATATCTAACAGCTCTTTGATCCGGTCGAAGGTTTGCTGAGCGGTCTCTGTCCACGTAAACTTCGTATTGCTTAGCACTTTATATAGGGGTGCTGCTGTATCGTTGAAGTTCTTCACGAATCTGCTGTAGAACTGTCTTAACTTCCTTTTTGAGTTGGGAACTGCAATATTCTTTATCGTTAGAATCTTTTCCGGCAGTGGTTTTATTTCTCCATTGCCTACTTTATGCCCCAGCAACGTGACGCTTCTTTTCGCTATCTGAGACTTGTCTTTGTTAATTCGTAAACCCAACTCATCAATTCGCCTTAGGACCGCCTCCACGTGCCTCACATGTTCTGCCTCTGTACGACTATATACGACCAAATCATCGCCATACACCTCGACATTCTCCAGGTTTCTGATCAGCAATGTCATTAGTCTTCGAAACGTAAACGGTGCACCCGCCAATCCAAAGGGCATTCGTTTAAATTGATACTGCTTCTCCCGTACGGTAAGTGCTGTTTTGCTGCGATCACTTTCTTTTATTGGTAGCTGCCAATAGCCCGACCGTAAATCTAACACTGTGAACACCGTAGCACTCTGTAGACGATCTAATGTCTCCGCTATTGTTGGCATTGCACATGGTTTTAGTTCTGTCACGTTATTCAGTTCTCTAAAGTCAACACAGAATCTATACTTTCCATTAGGCTTCTTTACCAAAAGTACCGGCAAGCTGTACGGGCTATCTGCTTCTTCAATTATACCTGCCTTTAACATCTCCTGTACCTGCTGGTTTATCTCAGCTTCCAAATGTACGGGGACCCGTCGTGTTGTGAAGATGGTCACTTCTTCGTTCTTCATCAGAATTTCATGTTTAACTTTATTACAAAATCCGTACAGTTCTCCGTCTCCCGTGAACAACTTCGTATATTTCGTGAGCACCTCGTTAATGTTCTGTTTCTTTTCATTGTCCTCTTTTGCTACTCTAACTTCAGCCACCTCGCTGCTTTCACGTATTGTCAGTGTGCCGTACTTTGTAATCACCTTCTTGCTTCTTGTATCAATAATTGCTCCTATTTCTCTGAAGAAATCTGCTCCTAGTATTGGTCTCGACAAGTTCGTAGTTACCACAAACGGAAACTGTATTTCCGAATTGCCGATTTTCACGATATCATTTGATACTCCTAGGATTTTTAACACGTGGCCTCTGATGGTGTTAACAACTAATGCACTCGGCCTGATACTTCTATACTGCTCTTTCTCTATTAACGAAACTGCCGCCCCTGTATCAATGAGGCACACTACCTCTCGCTCGTTTATCAATACTCTCGCATAGACCGCCCCCTTATCTACTAATGCCGAAACCCCCAGTTTCTCAGGACATAAAGAACACCACGCATATTGTGGTGGACCAATCAATGTATTATTTCAAAATATCAACAAAGTTATTGAATACAAATTGATGTATATTGAAATATATCGATTAAATGTAATAAATACAATAAAAATGTAAGGACGTTACTTTATACGGCTGCTTATGCGTGTTCGGTTGTTATCGGTACCATAAATCCACAATTATAGAAATGTTAGTAATACAAATGATGTAAATATCCGTAAGGTAGCATATACGTATGACTGCAGTCTATAAATGTAGACAATATTCGTATTAGAATCCAATTAGCGAACGAATGAGAACATAAGTTGTGTGTATAAAGTGTATTTGATAGGCTCAGGCATTGAGTGCTGTGCTATGTGTACAACAGAACGGAAAAAAACGAGTAGTCAACGTTACTTGTATCCAAGGTAACACACTTAAACAACATGTACAATCATTTTATAGTAAATGTACAAGCAGTCGAAAATTAACAGAATAAATAAAAAATAAGTTTGTCATACCATCTCTACAATATGGTCTAAAATGTTTACGTTTTCGTCTTGTTGGGCAATTCCTCTTCCAATGCCCGGTTCCTCCTCAAATATAGCATTTATTATTTCTTTCCCCCTTTATTCGTAACGCTGCCACCTCGCGTTGTAACTCTTCTATCTTTTTTGCGACATCATCCGCCTGTCTCTCACACGCCACCGAGGCGACTGTTGGATTCATCAGCTGTCTCGTTACTTTTGCCAGCTCGGTGACGTCCATTGGTTGTGCGGCGTTCACCAGTCTCAACTGTTGGGCAACCTCTGCAGGTACACTTTCAATGAATTGCGACGCTATCAGCTGTGCTTGCGACTCCTCATCCAAATTCGGCAGACCCCGGCGCAGCAATCTTGTCAACTCCACAGCCAGCACGAGTTGGTCGCCACCCACCGTCAGTCTCGCCTATCGGAACTTCTGCAGTGCGTCCTGCCTATCTGCCGGGCTGTTGAACTCCACCAGCAGCCTTTCCGTCACCACCTCCCAGTCAGCATCCTCCAAACCACCATACACCGCTCTCACTCTGCCTCTTAGTAGAATCCCCAACACCTCCACTTTCGCCCTCTGCTCCTTGACTCCTGCCAGCTCCGCCACGGCCTCGAACTCCTTCAAGAAGCTCCCCCACACCTCCGTCTTCAAACTCCCGAGGCCACGGGATCTTAATCCTGTGTAGAGGCAGCGGCACCAATTGAGAAGACTGAGGCAGGTGAAGAAGTTTGTATTATGCAAACTTACACTGAGTCAGTTAAAAACGAAAACATTACATTGAATACTCTATTTGCACACCATCTTTGAGTCGTGACTTCCAACACTCCATCCTTCTTCCATTCCTGTTGTTGCTTCCTTTCCTTCCTGTTGGTACACCATTTACTTCTTACTTTTGCTCCATTTGCTTTCCGTTTTCCTCTTCTGACCGTGAGACTTCTTCTTTCATGTCCGTTCTCATACTACTTATATCGTTCGTATAAGTAGCACACACCACAACACGACTGATCTCGCATAGTTATATCCCGATCACACGAACCTGAAAAAATACAAGTAGATCTGTTTCTTCCTGTTGTTTCAACAACATAAAGCGTCGGAATAAGCAAATCTAAAACATCCAAACCCGATATCGAGCCAACTTTAATAATAGCGAATAGCACTTTATTCTGTCCAAGGCATTAAAATAATTTCGGTTAATAGTGTGAATAATTGCTAAATGTACGTCCTTCTAGATCAGTATCCAGTAAGTGAAATTCCCAATCAAGCAGTCTTTTTTTCTTACACATCAAAACTAAATCAGATTTATTCTATCATTGATCAGCCTAGTGTTAAAACAACATGAATAACGGTAGTTGTTTCACTGATAAAATATAAATGAGTCAAAGCAGTTCACAAATAAATTACTGACTATTGAACTGTTTAGAATTCTGAACATTCTAAAAAATTTTTAATTAGTTGAGAAATTGTAGAAGTATGTTAGTGATAATATCAGAAATATGTACAACGCATCATAATCCGGAATTTGTGATATTCTATGAATTAGCTAATGCTCAATATTTTTGAAGTTACAAGTGATGATGTTTTGTGATGTATGGGGAAATAATATTCAAACAATCATTTCTGTGTCGTTCCTAGAATAATTTGCCAGAACACGTATTTATTGCATATCTTGTGTTAATTAAGATACATCTTGTGTCTATACATTTTGAGTAGATGGTGCTTAGTTACTGAAGGTAAAACTAGTAGCATAAAAAGCACTTTCAATATTTTATTGTATCGTCAATGTAGTTACACATTTGTATATTGTACTTGACTTTGAGCTACACTTTTGTGCATGAAATTGTAATATTAAAAAACTTCGGAGAGCTAATGGAAGTAAGGCATATTTTGAATCCATGACTCAATAATTTAGATACTTTTGTCCTGACCATTAACCATTTTATCAGCGTTTACAAAGGTCACTGTATTCTTTAGATTACGTCAACATTTCCACTAATTTACAGACTAAAATTTCGGTTTCATAGTCAACAGTATGTTATCCATCTATTAAATTTTGATATATGAATCTTTGTGATAGACTCGAATATATGAACTTGAAGACCACGCTGTTACTCTCTCAATATTACTACTTAAATCATGTTTTCTCCTGTGTTATGTCAAGTATCTCTTAAAACTTCGGGTGAATTTTACGGGAAATCTTATAAAACTTCCCGAGGATTCTGCATTATGTATACGTGAATTAGGAATTACATGGTATTGTAATCTCCCATCTGCAAAATTAGTCAGTATGTAATATCGAGTCATTGTAGGGGTCTTTTAGATGATATATATATTGCTCATTATCTAGTTAGTATATTGTGCGAATTCTGAGCACATGTTGTGTATGTCTTGATTGTAAAGCAGTACGTAAAACAATTTTTATGTGGTATGAATCAGTTTTCCAAGCCCAATAAATGAAATTATAGTAATTTAAATGTTAAGTGATTGTTTTAAAATGTTTTCAAAATTTCCTTCTTTGAATCCTTTTTCATTCAGCTATTAGACGTAAAGAAAATGGTTGGTATGATGAAGATCATCCACTTGTATTTTTATTTCTTGGTTCATCTGGTATAGGCAAAACAGAGTTAGCAAAACAAGTTGCAGCATACTTACATAAAGACATTAAAAAAGGCTTTATACGTATTGATATGTCAGAATATCAAGAGAAACATGAAGTAAGTTCTTTTAAAATAGTCTATATTATTTCATATACATGATATGCGTTCATGCACTTAGTTTCCAGTCATATCGAAGTTTGAGGGATACTGAAAAACGATCTTAGAGATGACACATTCATAATCTGACTTTTCAGGAGTTGACCTCTTACCAGGAGATTCACTTGTTGACTTAGAATATGTCGGTGATGTAGTTCTACTTGATGAAGACGCTGGCAAAATCCAGTCTTCTGACCACCTTGATCAGCAATACAAGCATGTTCGGGATGCGGTTTTCGCCCTCGAAATGGGAAATGTTGCTTCAGGATTGGCTTGCGTCAGCACCTAAACTAGTGATAGGAAGTGAAGTAGTTGAGCTTGTCGACCGCTTCACTCATCTTGGGAGCCGTCTCATCAGTGCTGATGACCTGATGTGTGACGAAATCTCAACACGGATACAGAAGGCCTGACTGGCTTTTGCCAACTTGCGCCACTTATGGCGTAGGAGAGATATCCGTGTGCTTCGTTCTACTCTATGGGTGTGAAACATGGCCGGTTAGAGTAGAGGATATTCGTAGGCTGGTAGTATTAGATCTTAATTGTCTTCGGTGCATTGCTAGTATGTCTTGGGACCACCGATTAAGTAATGCTGTTGTTAGGAAACGGGTACTAGGTGAGAATGGCATATCAATAGATGAAGTATTAGAACTTCACCAGTTGAGGTGTCTGGGACATGTGTTTCAAATGCCTACCTACCAACTGCCTCCAACACGCCTTCACCTCGGTTTTAGTTATATGTACCTGTTGTACAGTTTTAAATATAAAAATTCCTACATGTTGCTCCCGGTCTCTACCACTATAGCTTTCAGTAACTAAACTGTATGGCTCATTTTTAAGAGGTATATCTTGTAATCTAACACGTTACTCTAAATAGGATTGATCAATTGAATAGGAATGTATGCTTTTGTTTTTTAACTAGTGCATCTGTGTCAGTTGTTAGACATAGTAAAGTTAGTTCACAAAAAGACGAATCAGTTTCTTTCCAGAAACATCGGTAAATCATCATGTTTTACTCTACTTTGAACCTATGGCAAAAGTTTATATTATGTAAGAAGAAATGGGTTATACTTTAGGTTAATAGAGAATATTCATCTATGTATCATTGTATCTTTATTATTCAAATGCATAATTGGAGAATTAAAGTCCAAAGCTACAATATTCGTCAATATATGGATCTCGATAGGTACATAACTAAGATGCATTATCTAGAATGCACATTTTGTCCTATTTAGGACTTGTCACTGGAATATACTTCCATATCAATGTCAGTATGTCCAATGGGACTAAAACCTTATACCTGTCGCTTCAAATGTCAAACCTCTTATGGTGTTGATTTCATATAATGACTAGCTGACTAAAAAAGTATGATAAAGACTCATTGAAAAATTATAAAGCTATTCGTTAAAGAGTAAGTGAAACCCTTTCACAGTTCCTTTTGTTTTCTTAACAGTATTTATTTGTGTTCCTTACAAGTTCTTAAGAACTTCATTCATTTGATATTTAAAAATTTCGGCTAGTCTGTGTATACTTCGAATTATTGTATAATTGATCATACCGTATAATGTTTTCTACATTATTCATTATGTTTACTTTGGTCTGTTAAGGCTAACTTATTACTCTCAATCGATTAAAAAACTAATCAAATAAGTAGAGATTTAATTCAATTCATATGAAAACTATTCTGTCGGCTCTCTGTTATTCCGTTAGACTGATGGTGAAAGGTTAAAAAACTACTCAGCACCGTGTATAGAATAGCAGTCCAATTAAAGGAAATACCACGAACGTTCAGGCGATCAAACTGATAATGTTTTTATAGCAGAACAGATGAATAAATCCTAGCAGGGTGAAGAGGAAAACTACTTAACTATTATACTATTTTATATAGATTGCTTACAGTTGTATTTTTCACCTACTTTATGTTATTGAAACAATACATGACCCGTCTACTTTCTCGAAATAACACCGTTCACTCCAGAATGATTTCCTTCTTTATCTTCGTATGTGTGTTGCTGGGGCAAGGTTATTAGTTTCTGTTCTTCATTAGGTGTGTTTAGTTCAAAAACTTCCATTATTACTTTTTAGGTTTCTAAATTCATCGGATCACCACCAGGTTATGTTGGTCATGAGGAAGGTGGTCAGCTTACACGAGCTTTAGCTGCTTGTCCAAATGCAGTTGTTTTGTTTGATGAAACAGAAAAAGCTCATCCAGATGTTTTGACAGCTTTGTTACAATTATTCGATGAAGTAAGTGAAATTTAATCTATTGAATTTTACAGTGTATAAATTGTTTTAGCAAACTCAAATTAAAAACATCATACTTTTAAGGTTTGTAAATATTTTGTAGTTCGAATGTTAGATTAATAGACTTTACTAGTGTTACAATGGACAGTGACATGGCTCAAAACTGTTTGCAATGGCGCACGTACATTTACTCTTCGTGTTCTATGGAATTCTAACCTTCTGAATTAATCATCACCTCTATCTTTCTCTTTCTAAATTTACCTCACTGAATTATACTTCTTGAATAACATCTTCGAACCCTAATCTCTCCGATTACTTGTAATACTTTTACTACCTCTACTACTATGGGATTTGAATTGACAATTATATCTCTGTGCTAACGTATGGCAACTTGAACTGATGTACTTACGAACGAAGTTCTACGTTGTAACTGACTGACTGACCATGGACAGATGTGCAAGTTCATTGGTAACTTAATAACCCTCATTACTTTTATTCTTGACATTCTCTATGTCTAACTCCTGATTGGACATTAAACTAACAAGTTCCAGTGGTTTCATATAAACTCACATACTCGCTCAAATACTTAACAATTTCATTTTCTAAAATCCATCCACTTAGGATTTGAGGAATCATTTCTATGAGCGCAAGTATAATTTAAATCACAATCTCTATTTTATAAACTTAATCAATCAATATTTTTATCATAGAAGGTTGGTACATCAAACCTTTTGAAAACTAATTATAGCATTGTATTTTAATAATGAAATTAAGGAAAGTATGCATACATACAGTTTTGTTTATTTTCTCGTCAGTTATACTGTTTGATGTATTTTCGGATAGGAAGTTATTGTTTTTATATTCTTCAGATTGCCTTGTTAAACTCCCCAAAAAAATTATATACATGAGAAACTTATATGCAAAGACTCATTTGGATTAGATAGACAAATCGACGAGGTAGTGGTCAGTTCATGGCATACCATTGTAGGATGATAGAAAATTGTGGAATACTAGAGATGGTGCAACTCGGTGTCTTGAGATTTCAAACAAGGCTCATAATAGAAACCAGCAGCTGTTCTGTTGTAGTTTATTTCGCGCTCTTCATAGAGAGGTGTGTGAAAGTTTTCTACGTTTTTATTTCTAACTGAACTATACCCTATTACATACTATTGTGATCTACTTATTTCAAATATTTTCTGTTGTACCTCATCTCCCTTCAGTAATTATTCATAATTTTATTTCTTTATTTGTATGTTGCATACTAATTTTGTTAACCAACTGTACTAGTGTTCATGTATGCATTAAATAAATAAATCGCTCTTCAAAAACAGAAAATATCGAATATGATAAAAGTTGTAGCACGGACTAATTTGGATTTCTTCCAACTGTATGAGTATTCTAATGAAATCACGCTATTTTTAATAATAATAATAGTCAATTTGAATAGTTAATAATTACTATAAATATCTATATTTACAATATTATAGAAATTTACTTAGTAAATGTATTATGTAGTATAGACAACAAATAACTTTCATGAAATTTTGTCTTAGTTTTATTCTTGTTGCTTAGTGTGTCATGTATGTCCACGCATTATTATTTTTTAATTAACAGTATATTTACAATTAAACTTTTCAAATATTTGTCAATGTTTGTGTGTATGATTATTTTGTCTTCATTGATTGATCTTTTTACAAATCCAATCAAATTCATAAATAGTTACACTAGTTTAATTTACATTCACTATACACATTAAATGTAAATTAGAATATTTTCAAAGTTTAGTAATCAAGATTTTTTTTGAACATTGCATTTATCTGAAATGATATTCATATTCACATTCAAAGGTGTATGTTATTGGAAAATGTTTCAATCAGTCATACTGTTCTACCTAACGATTATTCAGTTTGGCGAAATATTGACTTATCCTAAGTGATATCTTATCATTTCGACTTTTTAATAATTGAAATCATGAATTAAAAGTCATGTGTAGATCTAGCTAGTTGACGTATTTTATAAAGTGATAATAAAAATAAATAAATAATTACCTATACATATATCTTTGCTTCGATTAAGCTGGTTTTAAGTTGTTTAGTTTATAAATCAATTCAGCTAATCACATATTAAGATGACTAATTCAAACTGCACTTCTTTCCATCTTACTATTTACCAAAACAACTATCTATATATATATTTTGCATTCTTCGTGTATAATAGAAGACAAGTAACCTAAGCGTATTTACGTTTGAGGCAGTATCAGTGATAGTACCTAAACAGTACAAAAACCTTTTTTTGCTTATTTCTCTATTTCATTTTCATAGTTTCTTCAAATGCAAACTATTTTTGTCTGTTCTTTTTTCTCTTGAAGAATGTGATCACTTGTTTATTTGTACTTTAAATTTTATTGATTATCATTAGTTTGTTGCCACAACAGATGTATATATATATATATATATATATATATATATATATATATAAATGAGAAATCCATTGTTTCACTCATATGCATTCATTTGGAAACTCAAACATTATGTTTGTCACCTGTTTCCTATTGCAAAATTTGTAATTCTGTACGTTATTCTGTTATTTTATTGATCATAACATCACATAGATTTATGTTTATTGTAAAATTGGACCATTAAATTTTAATTAAGTAGAATAAAACAAAGCAAAGAAGTTATAAAGCGCCAAAAAACAACTGAATACCAGATTAGATTATTGTATGTCAGCATGAGGTTGTGGAGATTGTTCAGCTTCATAGAAGTCATGAACTGATCAGTGTTAGGCTACGATTAGAAACCTGGAAGCACTCATCAGCCGTTTCCTCGTAATATGGAACGACTCATCAGCAGTGTGCATCCACAGTTATTACTAGCTTCAGGAAGAAATTCACGGAGTTCTAGTGAAAGCAGTGTCCAGTGGAGTTTAATCATATCGGGCATGAGACAGTTATTCACCAAAGACAACGAATAATGGTCGCGCAATATCGTGAACTGATTGAAGTTAAACATCAACAACTTTGGATGCCGGCTCAGTGGTCAAGAGTTTAAGTGTTCGCGCGCGAGACCAAAAACCCCGGGTTCGACCCATGCTCCTGAAATCATGGATGTGCACTACTAATGTGTCTTATACTGGAACGAAGAGACCATCCAATGCTTCCAGGTTTCCAATGGTAGTGTAACATAGGTTGTTATGGCTATCGAAAAAATACATGGTGCAAAACATCAGAGAAATGAAAGCACAGATACACTAACAGTAATGTTTATATTGGAGAACAAGTAATAACGGATTAAAACATGAAATAAACGATGCATAGTAATGATGTTTAAAATTTGTGGTAGCACATAGCATACATATGTGGCACTGCAACAATTTCTTCTCTAGGTTATGTTACTGTTCATAATCAAGAGGTCTTATTGACCTAACTTAATTAACGGTCTTTGATATCAGTATATAGTTATTCAGTGGCTCTATCATACATAACAGTACTTTAACACATTGATTAACGTGTGTACCACTAACTTATTAAGGCTACACAATTACAGCTTTATAGTTTATTTTCATTTCTACAATATGAAATATAAAATATATTAACTTATTTCCATGATCATTCTTACCAATTTACTGGAATTCTAATGCGTATTCAGTGTTAGTATAGTATATTGAGATTGCGTTAATGATTTGAAGTACATGGTGTTTAGTTTATTAAATTTAGATAAAATACCTTGAGACATGTTTAATTTTTACACTATGTAGTTGTATACATTTAATACATAATCTGTAAACAAATCTTAATTCATTAAAATGAAAATTGGTTTTTCGAATTTAGTATTTACATAGTTTAATTTAATAGATTGAAGAGTTTTTTGATTTTATGTAACAGTAATATTTAAAGATAAACTGGTTATAACTGTTATTTTAACATTTCCAGTGTGACAGGTTGTCAAATAAATAGAAAAATAATCACAGTTAAATGTAATAACTGTATGAAAATAATAATTTACTTTTTTAATGAATGATAGAAATGTTATGAAATAGTCCTTTTTTGACGAAAAAGAACTGAACTTTTTTGATTGTAAGAGTTACTTTAACATATCAGTATGCCTAACCAGTGATAATTGAATGTTCATTTAATGAATCAGTTAATTATTATTATTAAATTAGTATTATCAAGTAAATTAAAAAAGTAACTAGTAATCATTCATTCTAAGAAATAGACAAATATTCTGTTTTACATAATCATCTAAAATATTGATAACTATCTCTCACACACTTGGTATAGATATTGCAAGAAAACTTCTTAATGATAACAAAGCTAAGAATATATTTCAGGAACAACTAGAAAAACAGTTAGGCGACCATGTAGTAAGTGATGCCCACCCTGAGGCAGCTTGGAATGATATTCAAAAAGCTATGGGAACAGCAGTGATTTCTGCTAGTGAGGTAAATCACAAGCTTGGGGAGAAGCGGTGGATCTCAGTAGTATCTACCGAACTGATGGATGCTCGAAAACTCATCCCGTCTAGTTCTAAGTACGATGAAGAGTGGACTCAGCTCAGGCGCAGGCTTATAAAAAGCCTACTCAATGATCACGAGCAGTGATGGGCAGCGAAAGCGTACGTACGAAGTTCTCTGTTGTTGTTGTTGACTGACTGACTGGATTTATTTTCATAATTCTTATATTATTTTAAAATTCTTTACTAAATATTTTATTCTTTTATTAGGGACGCTTAACTGATGGACGTGGTACGACAATTAATTGTAAAGATGCTATATTCATTATGACATCCAATGTTGGAAGTCAAGTAATAGCTGAACATGCTCAAGAACTCAGACAGATTTCTGGAAATGATGGTTTGTTATTATCATTAGTATTTGAATTCATTTATTATCACTTTTCAGTTTGTCACATCAATACAGAATTTGATAGAATAGTCCATGGACTTAAGTTTCTACACCACATCAGTACAATGCATTAAAAATAATGAGATTAATAGCAAAACAAATTGAAATAATATTATAGCGATCATCATTAGAATGATTAAACATTAAAAATATGGTTATAAAAGGCAAAATGAAAATGTATGTATGAAGTAATATTAGAGTTCAGAATCTAGGGGAACATAGAGTGAAAGAATTTGAATAATCAGTTTATCATGCATCAATCCATTAATGTAGGGTTGACATAGACCAGTTTTATAGAAGTTTCTATTTCGTAAGCGAAAAACTCATCCCAAACATTTGTTGTTGTTCAAGGCAATTAAAAGACTGTTTTTTTCAGTGCTTTTGTCAAAAAGCACTATGTCATTACCATACTACATGTCGATTAGTGAGTTTCGGAACGAGTGTATTGCGCAGTAGTTCGCTCTATCCTACTTTATGTTTGTGAAACATGGCCAGCATGAGCATAGGATATTCACAGGTTATTCGTGTTCAATTAGAGATATCTTTGAGGCATTGCTAGTGTATCATGGTACAACCGAGTAGGCAACGCTGTTGTTAAGAAACGGGCGCTAGGTAAGGATTGCAGGTCAATAGATGAAGTATTGAAACTTCATCAGTTGAGGTGGTTCCGACTTGTGTTACGAATGCCCAACCACAGACTACCTCGACGAGCTATGTTTTGTGCTGTAGGAGTAGGTCGGAAGAAAGCTAGGGCCAGCCAGACCAAAACATGGCAGAAATTCATGGTCACTGACAAGTGGACTGAGTCATGTCGGTAGGTGTCGACTATCTGGTTGGGGTCCGCAAGACGAAAGTCACCAATGGTTAGAGACCTTGAACGACATGGCTCAGAATCGTTTGCAATCGCGCAGGTGCATCCACTCTTTGTGCTGTCTCTAATTCTAATGTGAATTCCTCATCAACTCTATCTTTTGCTTTCTAAATTTATCTCACTGAATAATTCCTCTTGAATCGTATATTCGCTCCCTAATCTTCTCGATTACTGCTAATACTTCTACTATCGCTACCATTATGTGATTTGAACTGACAGTTGCGTCTCTGTGCTGATGTGGTATGTCAACCTGAACTGATATACTTACGTACGAAGTTCTACGTTGTAGCGGATCGACTGACCATCAGTCGATTACTTTAGCACTGTGTGCTAAATAATAGAAGATTAGGTTAGAAGGCAACTAGTGGCTAGAAATGAATTACCATGTCACACTGTATACCTTATTGATTTTGCGAACAAATCACAACCATTAATAAAAGTTTCGTTCCTGAACATCTGTACTCTTTTGATTCAAGTATCTTTTCGCACAACTATAGTGTTAAGTCATGTTTATAGATGTGATCATAATATCGGATTTTATATATTATATTCTGGCATGTGAGTTTTCTAATCGTGTTGACAATTTAATAATTTCAAATCAGTTTTATTATCAACTAAGAACCTAATACAAATTTGTGTGAATTCCAATTGGTATACAGTATTTATTAGCATGACAATTTTATAAATGAAAACTAACAAAATCGACTTAAATAATGTGCCATTAATGTTAATGAGAAAAAAAAATGTAACACTGAAAATAATGTTGTAATACTAAGATTCAAAATTGAGATAAAAATAAGACATAGTTCTGAATTTGTTTCTTCTTTAGTTAATATACTGAAGAATGTACTGGTATTAGTATTTTTCAATTATCAATTAATTCATTCATCAAGTGCTTTTGTTATGAACCACAATATAAATGTCAATGCTAATGATACTAACCGGTTGCTGCACTAACATAAACTAGGCTAAAACGGTTTTTAAACTCTAGACTTAAAGGCTGAAAAACGTGCGCTTTACTCAATAACTCAATGACGATATATATATATATATAGTCAGTCAGTTGCAACGTAGAACTTCGTACGTATGTACATAAGTTCATGTTGCCATACCACATTATTAGCACAGAGACACAAATGTCAAATCAAATCCCATAGTGATAAAGATAGTAGAGGTATTAATGTTATGATAAAGAAGACTAGGGTTTAAGATATTATTCAAAAAATATAATTCAGTGAGATAAGGTTAGAAAGACAAACGTAGAGGTGCTGGCTAATCCAGAAGATTAGGATTTGAGAGAGCTCAAAGAGTGGATGCACCTGCGCCATTGCAAACGATTTTGAGCCATGTCGTTCAAGGTCTCTAACCATTGATGACTTTCGTCTCGCGGACCCCAACCAGGTAGTCTACATCTACCAACATGACTCAGTCCACTTGTCAGTGACTTCATGGATTTCTGCCATGTTTTGGTCTGGCCGCCCCTAGCTTTCTTCCAACCTACTCCTACACCACAAAACATAGCTCGTCGAGGCAGTCGGTGGTTAGCCATACGTATATATATATATATATATATATATATATATATATATATATATATATTCCATAATTTCGTTTGTTTATTTATTACTGTTTATTTTTCTATTTCTATTTACTTCAGAAGCTGATATTGAAATATCTCGAGATTTTAAAGAAAACGTTATGCGTCCAATTTTGAGGGTAAGAAGAATAGACTACTAACAATGATGACTAAAAGACGAAGTTATAAGTTTTTTTTAAACTTGTGTTATGTTAACCTCAAGCTTATTCAGATATCACTGACTTTGAATTTAGGACTGGCGCATTTTGATTTGAATTTTAAGATGTAGTATTTTCTTTGATTGTTAGATTTAAAATTGATCACAGTGGAAACATTTGAATTAATTCTTTATCTTATTATAAATCGTCAATTTATTATTGTTCCTTTTGAACAATACATTATTTAATCAAATTTCGATTGTGGATATGAGCTGTCACAATCGATACAGATTTATTAGACAGTCCCATCATAGTTCTTCAATGAACTGGGATTGATTGGAAAAATGACCGTATGTTGGTTCTAACAACGATTCTAAAAGTTTTGGTGCGAAACTGATGGAATTGATTGACTAAGACAGGCATCAATTTTGATATAATTAAATATCACTTGTTAATTGACCGAAGCTAAAAAATTGAAACTTGACTTTGAATTATGGCTCTACTATATCCTACTTGTTGCAATACTTAAATGCTTACAGTTAGGTATTTTACACGCATGAACTCATGGATGCATTGTGTTGAGCCTTGAGTTTAGACGATATATATATAAAAATAATTTCCGTTGATTTACAATGGTTCTTCAACTGATATCATTTTGCCCCTACAAAAGAAATAGATCAGATCAGTTTGAGTTATAGTGTTTCATTAACACTTCTTTTACTGACTTTCAAGGTGTTATTGATTTAATGGAATTTTAATAAACATGTTTTATATCGTTTTCTCTTAATTTGGTCATGTTGTGTGATCATTTTTTTTTTTTTTAATATTGTAAATTCAAACCCATGAATGTTCATATTATCATTTCTCAACTAGTGATCGATTCACATGGTTATCTCCATCGACATCACTAATAGTAAATAAAAAATTTGATTTTAGAGTTTAAAAATTCAATCTATAGTGTAAATTGAGACGCTTTATAGCACTTGTTCTATTCTACTCCTGTTATAAGGCATATAAACAAGTGTATAGACACTTACATGAATACTGTACACCATTAAAATGTTAAAAAAATTCTGTTCACTAAGTATAATGCATATGATTTATGTAAGTAGCTGATTGTTACAGTTATTGTTTGAATGAATTCAAAACATTTTTTTTAATCATACAACGAAAATAGTTAAGTGACTATTCCAAACTTTATTAGTCCTAATGACATAATCTAGGTTTGGTATATATATATATATTGATTTCAAGTCTGAAAACAATTGTTGCAACTTGAAAAGAAGCTATCGAGTATTTGTTTTGAAATCTGCAATGGGAACCTAAATTTGGTAGTTACGTTTATTTCCCTGCCACATTATATTCACTTGATAAGTAAAAGCAGTGGTGTAGTAGTTATGACATTCAACCAATGAGGTGCAGGTTCGTCTATCGGTTTCACCAACATTCGTTTAGATAGTGTTAGTGTCACCAGCACCCACAACCAATCTGGTTCGAAACCGAATACGTAAGCTTGTACTTTTAATTATTTCATAAAACTGGATGCTAATTACAAACATTGTGCTGGTTTGACCGCCTGTTTCATGCTAATTTGTGCAATAGTGACCCATGATTTTGCACATGTTTAGCGATATTGAAATCTGATAGATGATTATGCACCGTGTGTCAACAATTCAAGCCCTCAAATTTTATTTTCTCATACTTCAGTTAGTATGTTAGTTGATTTGGATATTTTTATATACATTTCGTTGTCATGGTTTTACTTTTATATTAACCTAATAAATTGCTATTTCTATTTCTATAAATATACTATAGAGATATTTTCTTCGTGATGAATTTCTTGGTCGTATTAATGAAATGGTTTATTTTCTACCATTTTCAACATCTGAACTTACCGAATTAGTGAATCGTAGTTTAAAAGCTTGGAGTGAAAAAGTTAGTTATTTTTGTATTTTTAGATCTCAAAAAACTATAACTGTTTTGAAATAAGACCTAAGTAAATATGAAACAATGGCGCAAAAAAAAAATCATGAAGATAAATTTCATTCGGATGAATTTAAGATTAGATAATTGGGATTTAGTCAATAAGTGTGAAAAATGAATTATTTCCGATATTGGGATCAAACTTCACAGCTGGCCTGTGTGTTAACCAGTGAAAGTGTCATAGCTGTTTTCAGATCTATTAATTTTTTAAATGTAACCAGTGATTATTCTGAAATTTACGATTTATGGTTTATTTATCGTCAAAATAAACATTTGATGTAGCTGTGAAATCTCTAAAAATATTTAGCTTACTATCCACAAATTTAGACGTCTAAAAAAAATTTTCCATGTCGCAAAGTAGTTATGAACGCTAAGTGAGGATATACGATTTTATTACCATACCGGTTGTTTTGTACTAGATGATCATGACAATCAAATCCTTTTTACACTTCTTAATATCTTTCTTATCTCCACGATCAACTCTTATTTCATTCCTTTGCCAACTGGCGCCGCTGATACAAACGTTCCTTGTTCATGAAACATAATTCCTGGTCTCCTGGGACCATGCTTTAGACCACATATTAGAGCTTATAATGTCCGAACATTATGTCAAACGGGGCAACAGGCTTCGTTAGCTACTACTTTAGAATCCTCTGCCATTGATGTATGTTGTGTCTCCGAAAATCGCAAAGACGATTCGAGTACAGTGACTGAATTGACTTCATCTTGTCTACATAAAAAAGCAACTGAGTTTGCACTGCGTGTATTCTGAAGCCCTGCTGCTTCCCATGGCCTCACTGATGTAGGTGTAGCATTGAATCCTAGGGCAGAACTAGCTCTCTTGGACTGGATCCCAGTAGATAGTCGTTTGTGTACTGTCTGACTAAACGGGACGGTAATAATTCGTAGAGATAAGTACGCTCACTGTTGCCTTGTCGTTGTCTATGCCTACGCTCCTAATACTGCTACTCGGATGAGGTAAAAGATGAGTTTTACAGAAAGATTCTAGCCTTCAAATCGTTAAGCGATCTGATGTAATAATAGCGGCTGGTGATTTTAATGCCCAAGTAGGTAGACTAAGCGAAAAGGAAAGACACCTAGGTGGATGTTATGGTGCTGCGGCTGATTGAACAGATAATGGCGACCGTCTACTGCAGCCATACTCATATAATCGCCTATTTCTAGAAAATTTCTAGCATGAAGAAAAACATCTTTTGACGTGGAAACATCCAAAATCGACCACACTAGATCACATCTCTATGAGCCACCGGTAGATAAGCCCCTTTGAAGACAGCCGCTCATTTTGGAGCACTTGTTTAGATTCAGACCATGCTCTCGTACGAGTGCGTATTTGTCTGTATCTCACTGAACGTAGGAAAAATACATCAAAGAAACCTCTTAGTGTTTTAATTTATGTTATAATAGCTAGGAATATATTTCAGGAGCAACTATAAAAACAGTTAGGCAGCTATGTGATCGTGAGGTTCTGTGGCAGTGTCTGTCATTGAAAGGTATACCAAAGAAGTATATCAACCTTATACGAGCCCTCTACTCGAACACTACAGGTCGAGTGAGAGCTTGTTGTGAACTGTCATTGGAATTCTTTACTTCAATTTTATCCTTTTTCAACTGATTTCACTTCTTTGAATAACTTCTTTGTACCCTCATTTCTCCGATTACCTATAATACTTTTACTACCTCTACTACTATAGGATTTGAATTGACAATTCGATCTCTGTGCTTATGTGGTAAGGGAACTTTGATTGACGTGCGTTCGTACGTAGTTAAACGTCGTAGCTGACTGACTAAGTTTCGTATTTGTGAAATAATCATAAATGCTTTTGTTCAAGTTAAAAGATATTGAAGTTCTAGTGTTCTCATTTATCTTTCAGTTTGTTAGACAAATCTCTGTATACCACAGTACAGGTTATCGTCACAAAAGAATGTGTAAATTCTTTTTATGCCTAGTTTTTTGCTTGGGTCTTTTTACCATCGCCTTTTTGATAACTTATTTTCTGTACTACTAGAATTTGAACTAATATTATATTGTAACTGTTTGTTAATGTAAAATTAAATTCATAAACTTAAGTAATTTTTGTCTTAGGCACTGAAAAGACATTCTCTCACGATAACATGGAATCGCGAAGTAGTAGATCTAATCGTTGATGGATACGATGTGTATTATGGGGCAAGATCCATCAATTATGAGGTAAGACTATCTAATTTCATTGCATTTTCATAGTTTATACTTATGATTGTCGATATGATATCAGTCCTCTGTAATTTTTATATGAGCAGAAGTGTTGGGCTTAATTATTCCATTGACCTGACAGGTTTGTTTTGAATCGAGTTAATTACTTCAGTAGATAGTTTCATATTAAGGGGACTCTAGTTAACTCTCGCTTTCGATTGGGAAATGTAGGTACAATCACTGACTTTCCACTATCTTATGATAGCTTGCCCAAAAATTGAAAAGCTCAGCAATACAGAACACTCATCAATTTCAAGATAGTAACTGACTAAATGGAAAATTAAAAAAAGCATTCATTATGTTGGAAACTATCGTATTGTACAAATAATTAGGAAATAGTTAATACTTGTTTTTCTCATGTGATTACCAGACCTATGCTAATTATAGTTAATTCAAAGTCAAGGCGGTGACTAAATGACTATGACATACGGCCTGCAGTGTTGCAGGTTGAAACCTCGTTCTGCAACCAGGTGATATAACTAGTTTCTCAATCTTTAGTACAATTCAGAGCCCCAAGTATGCTAATCAGTATCACCTGAAAAATGAATATTCGTCAACCTCACGTTGAAACTGAAGTTTAACATTGTGTGTTTAATTACTGAATGATGCCGTATACTGAATTTTTTGTTAATTTTTAGATTGAACGCAGAATAATTAGTCTTCTTGCTTTAGCTGATGAACAAGGATATCTACATCCTGGCTGTCATGTTAACATTACTGTTAGTCATAAAAGTGTTAAAGATGAAACTTGGTCATCGAAAAAATCAAATGAAAACGTGGAACTAACAACATCCTCACCACCGCGTATAGTACTCGATGTAACAGATTCGAAGGGCAAAATAAATAAAGTTCTTGATTTAACACAGACCGCTAATTCGTGGGCATGAGTTTTGTAATAATTATATTGTACAGTTTAATTTCACTTTAAAAAGTTTAAATTCAATTTTCGTTTTTTTGGCGTAAAGTGTACGTTTTCAGTCAGTCGTACGAACGCACGTCAATCAAAGTTCCCTTACCACATAATCACAGAGATCGAATGGTCAATTTAAATCCTACAGTAGTAGAAGTAGTAAAAGTATTGTAGGTAATCGGAGTGATAAGGGTTCAATGAAATTATTCAAGAAGATAATCAAGTGAATAAATTAAAAACGAAGGATAAAAGTGAGGTAATTGAAGTCAGTCAGTTACAAAGTAGAACTTCGTACATACGTACATCAGTTCAGCTTGCCATAACATATTAGCACATAGACGCAATCGTTACTTCATATCCCATAGTAATATAGGTAGCAGAAATATTAGCCGTAGTCAGATGGGTTAGGATTCGAAGATATTGTTCAAGATAGAGTTGATGGGGGATTTAGATGGCTGTGGATTGCGAGGAGACAAGAAATGGATGTACTTGCATCATTGCAAATGATTTTCAGCCATGTTGTTCAAAGAATCTTACCATCGGTTACTATTGTCTCGCGGACCCTAACCCGATAGCCTACATCTCAAAACATAACTCAGTCCACTTGTCAGTGACTTCATTCATTTGTGCCATATTTTGTTTTGACCGCCCCTAGCTCTCTTCCAACCTACTCCTACATCACAAAACGCAGCTCGTCGAGGTAGTCTGTGGTCGGGCATTCGTAGCACATGTCACAGTAACCTCAACTGATGAAGTTTTAATACTTAAATTATTGATCTGCCATCCCTACATAGCTATCGTTTACTAACGACAACATTGCTTGCTCGTTTCTCCAAGGATACACGAGCACTGCTTCGGAGACACCTATGATCGAAGACTAGTAACCCACGAATGTCCTCTACTCTTAACGGCCATGCTTCGCATCCGTATAGTAGGAAAGAGCGAACTGCTGCGGAGTACACTCGGCCTTTGGTTAGCAAACGGATATCTCGCCTTCGCCGTAAGTGACGTAGGTTGACAAAAGCCAATCGAGCTTTCTGTATCCGTATTGAGATTTCGTCAGTCACCAGGCTATCAGCACTGATGAGACTCCCCAGATAAGTGAAGCGGTCTACACGTTAGACTACTTCACTCACTATCACTAGTTCAGGTGCCGATCGAACCCAATCTTGAAGCAATATTTTGCATTTCGACGTGGGGAAACTGCATCCCAAACATGCTTGCATTGTTGCTTAGGGTGGTCAGAAGACTGCATTTTGTCAGCGTCTTCACCAAGTAGGACTATGTCATCGGCATATTCTAAGTCAATAAGCGAGCCACTTGGTAGAAGGTGTACTCCTGAAAATTCAGACGAGGATAAGGTTATATCTAGGAGCATGTCTATGATAAAATTAAACAAGAATGGGGAAAGTGGACATCCCTGACGGACACCACTTGAAGTGAAGAATTCAGTTGACAGTTCGCCATAAGCTCTCACTCGACCAGTGGTGTTCGAGTAGAGTGCTAGTATAAGGTTAATGTACTTCTTTGGTACACCTTTCAATGACAGGCACTGCCACAGAACCTCACGATCCACTGAGTCGAATGACGAATGTGCCTGTGTTCCAGGACCTGTCTTAGTGTGAAAATGTGGTCTATATAGCCACGTCCAGGTCGGAAACCAGCCTGGTTTTCTCTAGTCTGCTGTTCACGAGCACTGGTTAGTCGTCTATGTATAATTGAGGCTAACAATTTAGAAACTATATTAGTTAAACTGATTCCTCTGTGAATGTCACGAGAAGACTTTGGTTTAAACTGGGACAATATGGGACCGATACCAGTCAGATGGTATTATATCCAGTTTCTACCTGAGATCTCAGTCAATTTAGCTGCTAAAACTGCACCGCCGTCTTTTTAAATCTGAGAGGTCAATGTATCAGGACCCGATGGTCGCCGCCGCTTCAAATTTGGACAACTTACATCGATTCGCCTTTCAGGATTACTGGAGATCGTGGGTTGCTGAAATAAGGTTGAGGGCCAATCTAAATGATCCATGAAGTGTTCTGTCCATCGATCAAATCTCCTGGATTGAGAATGAATAGTAAGATCATTCTTTTTCGAAATAGTCTCACTAACAATCGGTTTCCTTGATGAGTCTGATTTGTTGCCTATCGCTGCTGCCTTTTAGATCTCTCTCGCTTTCGCTATCCACCATCGTTCACGATCATTGCGTAGGCTTTTTTTCAGCCTGCGTCTAAGCTGACTCCGCCCCTCAGAGCCAGGCGGGATGAGCTTTCGAACATCCATCAGTTTCGTAGATGCTACTGAAATCTATAGCTTCTCCCTAGCCTTATAGTTTACCTTACTATGTAATCGGCATATTCAAAGTCAGCAAGAGTGCCTTCTGGTAGAAGGTCTACTCCTGAAAGGTCAGACTAAGTTAGTGTTAATTCTAGGAGCATGTCTACGACAAAATAGACAGGAATGGAGAGTCTAAACATCCCTGACGGACACCACATGAAGTAACCGATTCCGATGACAGTTCTTCATAAGCTCTAACTCGACCACTAGTGTTCGAGTAGAGAGCTTATATAAGATTAATGTAATTCTCTGGTACGCCTTGTAGTGAGAAAATCCGAACGTAGCTACTTCCTTAACGCGGTGGTTGAGTTAAAATTTCATGACCACCGAACCCAGCTATATTAGCCTAAATGTGTTCCTGTAGGTTCTACTGTGCCAGGCAGATCGATTGGAGAACGATGAGACTAAATACAGCTACTCAAGGTCTGTGGGCGAAGTCGTACTGCTGACTGCAGAGAGGTGTGACAGCAGTAAGGTGATTCCCTCGGACAACCAGCATCTGCAGCGATGCAGCCTTCTCACAAGGAAGGAAGGGTTAGAAAAGGTCGACCCTAAAAATGTCACACCTCACCTCACGCATTTTCGCCTCCGTCGGTAAGGGTGCCCACTAAGGGCTTTCAAGAGCGGAACTAACACTCAAAAACCTTTCATAAAAAGGCCGTGCGTGACCGGCCTCAAGCAGTTGTCTCTTGCGCTCTGCGGTAATGCTCTCGGGTCCCCAAGATCGACAATAATCTATTTTCCTTTTCAGCCTACTCAAGAAGCACCCTTACACGGTGTGGGCAGCAGGGAAGTGACAACTGCCCTCACACCCGTAACAGTACGCGAGACCAAATTGGTCAAAATAAAATCCTTCCTGCACTCCCTAATATCTCTCTTCTACCCACGACTAACTCTTCTCATACTCCTTTATTACACTGCACAGCTAATACAAACGATGCGAGTTCACGAAACGTCATTCATGGGCTCCTGAAACCCCGTTCTAAATTACATGTTTGAGCATTTAATGTACGGTCAATCTGTCAAATAGGGCAACAGGCATCATTAGCTAGGACTTTAGAATCTCGCCCAATCGATATATGCTGCGTCTCGGAAACGCGCATACAGGATCCTAGTAAAATCATTAATTTGATTTCACCTTATCAAAACAAAGAAGCATCCCGATTTACTCCTCGTGTATCCGGTAGCACTGATGCTGCTTCCCGGGGTCACGCTGGTGTAGGTACAACATTGAGTCCTAGGGCAGAACTAGCGCTCCTAGACTGGATCCCAATAGATAGTCGCTTGTGCGCTGTCCGACTGAACGGGACAGTAAGGATTCGGAAATATAGGGACACCCGTCGTTGCCTCTTCGTCGTATCTGCCTATGCCCCCACTGACTGCAGTTCAGACGAGGTGATAGATGAGTTCTACAGAGAGCTTTTGGACCTCCTCCAAAAAGCTAGGCGCTCTGACATAGTAATAATGGCTGATGACTTTAATGCTCAAGTAGGTAGACTGAGTGAGCAGGAAAGACACCTAGGTGGATGTTATAGTGTCGCGGCTCAGAGAACAGACAATCGCTACTGTCTGCTGCAACTATGCTCAGATAACTGCCTACTCTTAGCGAACACCAACTTTAGGCATAAGGAAAACATCTGTTGACCTGGCGACCCCCGAAGTCGTCTCAACGTTGGACTCAATTAGATCACATCGCCATCAGCCACCGATGGAGGGGTTCGATAGAAGACTGTCGCTCGTGCTGAGCCCCATGTCTAGATTCAGATCATGCCCCAGTGCGAGCTCGTATTTGTTTGAGGCTTACTGGGCGTAGGAAACACACCGCAAGGAAACGTCTAAGGGTTCTACCTACTGATAGCATAGCTATGAATATATTACAGGAACAACTAGAAAAACAGTTAGGCCACCATGTAGTAAGCGATTCCCATCCGGAGGCTGCAGTGATATCTGCTAGTCAGGTAAACCATAAGGCTAGGAAGAAGCTGTGGGTCTCAGTAGCATCCACCGAACTGATAGACGCTCGAAAACCCATCCTATCTGGCTCTGAACATAATGAATAGCGAAGTCAGCTTAGGCGCATGTTCATAAAACGCCTACGCATCGACCGCGAACAGTTGTGGGTAACGAAAGCAAAAGAGATGGAAAAGGCAGTGGCGATAGGTAACAGTAGACAGTTGTTCCGACTTATCAAGGCAGCCAGTATTAGAAATCCATCTGTTAGCGAACCTATCTCGAAAAATAATGGTCTCGATATTTATTTTCAATCCAATAGGTTGAATCGATGGTCTTCAGTCACACTTAGGTTGCCCACGACTTGATTGGCAAATTGATATAAGTCCTCTCAGTCTTTAGGAACTAGAAAAATCTATACGAAATTCAAAGTGAGGTAGGGCAGCAGGGCATTATAGGCTTACCGCTGAGATTTTTAAGGATGGTGGTCGAGTTTTAGCAGCTAGATTGATTGGGATCTTTGGTAGGATTTGGAAACTGGACGTAATTCCATCCGACTGGTCTCAGTCAGTGATTGTCCGAATTTATAATAAAGGACAAACGTTCTCTTGTGAAAATCACAGAGGAATCAGTCTAACTAATATGGTGCCTACAGTATTGGCCTCCAACGACTAACGTAAGCTCGTGAAGAGCAGACTAGTGAAAACCAGGCTGGTTTTCGACGAATTCGAATCCTGCGTTCAGGTCCAGTGAGACAACTATTGCGGGACGTCAAAATGTGTGTCTATGTTCCGGGACCTGAAGAAGAGAGAATATGTGGTCTATACAGCTACGTCCTTATGAGAAGGCATTGAATCAAAGGTGTCTATATCTCTAGGAAAAGATATGTCTTTTCACGTTCTGTACAAGATAATAAGACTTTTTAACCTGGTTTTGAAGAATCTCTAGAGATTTCTAAAATAGTTCAATAAAACTCAAAGCGACGAAAGGCTCCCTCATTCGTCCAATCTCAGCTTAAAACTACTGGACCAACCAAATATTTTATATGCACATGGATGTCCAGTAACAGAGTTGTTAACGTTGTAAGAATAGACGTATTTCCCTGTCCAGTCTTAAAGTTATGAATCCATCCCCAAGTTGAATTTGGTAAAAATCGGTTTACCTTTTTTACAAGTAGTAAACTTATTTGAGTGACAGAAACATTTACAAATTGCATTCGGGAATCAAGAAAGAGTATTTTTCTTGTTAAAAAAATATTGTGAACCGTTTATAGTTTCTTAAATTAAAATCAGTAGGAAGTGAAACTGGTAAATTATAAGGAATTTTTTGTACATTAAGAACTCATTGAAAAGAAATAATAACTTTCAGATTATCGGAGATCCTCAGAAGAATGTTCAACAGTATCGTCAAATATTACATGTTGACTTTGCTCATATAATGGAAGATCTGTGGAATGTGGATGGAAACCTGTTTTTTTGCATTTTGACAAAAATGAAATGCCATGATCAGGAGTTAGTGAAAAACATTTAATGTCATCGAATCTCGGAGCACATACAATTGCTATTGCTTCCGGGAGCATAGTTTGATAAGACAACTGACAGTGTAAATCAACAGCTGATAAAAAAGCAGTTTGAGTAGGGTGTGTATGTATCCAACCCAATGTTATTAGTTGCCTTTTGTCTAAGTACTCAAATATTTCTTCTTCCTTATATGTAACACAGGAGTCTGGAGTACCACTTTGCTTTGGAATCAGAAGGTTTGTAATGTAGAAATTTCCACTAATTAATTTCCCACACAGAGTTCCGCAAGTTTCTCGATTTTCTTTAGTGTTTTTACTAGCTAAGCTCAAAAATTCACTTATTAAACGTCGAGATAAATAAGTTTTTGTTAAACCATAGTCTCCTGTATAGTTACTGGACAACGATCTTGGGAACTCGCTGGCAGTGTAGTCGAGTGTTTTATTAAAAGCAGGATATAATGTGCCGTTCAATGACGATGAGTTGGACACAGAAAGGCTATAGGATTTGGGATCAACTGGATAGTTATCAAATGGTTCTGCACTGCGATCAAGAAACGGTACTATTGCCCCATTAGTATTTAATGTCCATTCAGTTATGCTTAGTGACTTTTTATATTGCTCATACTCCTCTGTGTACTTTTTCCTCAAATCATCTCGCAAGAATTCAGCAGACTTTGGAAGTAATTTACCAAGACTTTGGAGTTCGTTTTGAGTACGCAGATCTAATCTTTGATAACCCTTGTGATTAGGCAACTCTCGGATACACAAAACAGCTCTAATGGATAATATGTACGCTTTTTCTTTCTGACCTGCTTCTGAAAACTGAACAGATAAGCGAAACATCGATCGAATAAACCGTGCATAATGAGTAATGTCAATATTTTGAATTATGGTGAAGTCCTCAGCAGACTTAAGAAGAGCATCCAGGCGTTCTTGAGGCGTTTGGTTCATTTTTGGACAAAAGCTGTATGACTTAAGTTCTTACATGGAAGGACTGAATTCAGAAGACATATATAACGAATTGCTTTGATCAACTGTTTAACTAAAAATAAATGTAAGTAAATGGTTAGTTTCGCTATGAAAGGCTTTGAAGTATAAAAAGTCGCAAAAAATTTCTTATTAACACCAACAAATCCAGTTTTAAACAATAATAAATTATGCATTGCACCAAGAGTGTATTGAATAGAATATTCTTCTAAAAAAAGTAACAGGGCGAACCTCGTATGGTTTGCTAAACTTTTACATCTACAACACTCCCTAGGAATCCTTCCATGAAGTAAACACTGCTCAAATCAGCACAGTCGAAATTAGTTGAAACAAAATAAGTGGGTAAACAGTCGTTTTATATCAATGATGAAGTATAAGTTTACGTAGTCGGTATTGAGTAATACATTTTTTGAGAGTGATATTAATCATCTATCCACACCATTTTAGTGAGAATGAGAATTTTATAACAAATACCTAGTGGTGTTAAGATTAATGCATTACCTGAAAATTCTGGGCAATCGAGAAAAGCTTCAGGATTTTGTAATAACATGATGTAATGATATTCGCAATGATTAGGATAATTTAGTGATGTCAAGATTCACTTCGCATATAATTTAGTCAGTGTAAATTAATATTAGTTCAGCATAACCTTAAAGCCCGATCGAAGCTGCTACCTTGACGTGGTGGTCGGCCCTGCATATAGTGATGACCCAACCCAGCTATATTAGCCTAAATGTGTTCCTGTAGGTTCTACTGTGCCAGGCAGATCGATTGGAGAACGATGAGACTAAATACAGCTACTCAAGGTCTGTGGGCGAAGTCGTACTGCTGACTGCAGAGAGGTGTGACAGCAGTAAGGTGATTCCCTCGGACAACCAGCATCTGCAGCGATGCAGCCTTCTCACAAGGAAGGAAGGGTTAGAAAAGGTCGACCCTAAAAATGTCACACCTCACCTCACGCATTTTCGCCTCCGTCGGTAAGGGTGCCCACTAAGGGCTTTCAAGAGCGGAACTAACACTCAAAAACCTTTCATAAAAAGGCCGTGCGTGACCGGCCTCAAGCAGTTGTCTCTTGCGCTCTGCGGTAATGCTCTCGGGTCCCCAAGATCGACAATAATCTATTTTCCTTTTCAGCCTACTCAAGAAGCACCCTTACACGGTGTGGGCAGCAGGGAAGTGACAACTGCCCTCACACCCGTAACAGTACGCGAGACCAAATTGGTCAAAATAAAATCCTTCCTGCACTCCCTAATATCTCTCTTCTACCCACGACTAACTCTTCTCATATTCCTTTATTACACTGCACAGCTAATACAAACGATGCGAGTTCACGAAACGTCATTCATGGGCTCCTGAAACCCCGTTCTAAATTACATGTTTGAGCATTTAATGTACGGTCAATCTGTCAAATAGGGCAACAGGCATCATTAGCTAGGACTTTAGAATCTCGCCCAATCGATATATGCTGCGTCTCGGAAACGCGCATACAGGATCCTAGTAAAATCATTAATTTGATTTCACCTTATCAAAACAAAGAAGCATCCCGATTTACTCCTCGTGTATCCGGTAGCACTGATGCTGCTTCCCGGGGTCACGCTGGTGTAGGTACAACATTGAGTCCTAGGGCAGAACTAGCGCTCCTAGACTGGATCCCAATAGATAGTCGCTTGTGCGCTGTCCGACTGAACGGGACAGTAAGGATTCGGAAATATAGGGACACCCGTCGTTGCCTCTTCGTCGTATCTGCCTATGCCCCCACTGACTGCAGTTCAGACGAGGTGATAGATGAGTTCTACAGAGAGCTTTTGGACCTCCTCCAAAAAGCTAGGCGCTCTGACATAGTAATAATGGCTGATGACTTTAATGCTCAAGTAGGTAGACTGAGTGAGCAGGAAAGACACCTAGGTGGATGTTATAGTGTCGCGGCTCAGAGAACAGACAATCGCTACTGTCTGCTGCAACTATGCCCAGATACCCGCCTATTCCTAGGAAACACTAACTTCAGCCACCGATAGAGGACTATCGCTCGTTCTGAGCCACATGTCTAGATTCATATCATACCCCAGTGCGAGCGCGTATTTGTTTGAGGCTTACTGGGACAACCGTATAAGCAATGCTGTCGTTAGGAAACGAATTCTAGGTACAGATGGCAAATCAATAGATGAGGTAGTGAAACTTCATCACTTGAGGCGGTTGGGACATTTGTTACGTATGCGTAACCACCGACTGCCGCGACGAGCTATGTTTTGTGGTGTAGGTTGGGAGAAACCTAGGAGCGGCCAAACCAAAACATGGCACAAAGTCACTAACAAGTGGGCTGAGTCATGCGGGTAAATGTACGCTACCCTGTTGGGGTCCGCAAGACGAAAGTCACCAATGGTTAGAGACCTTGAACGACACGGCTCAGAATCATTTGCAATGACACAGGTGCATCCACTCTTTGCGTACTTTTTAATTCTAACCTTCTGAATTCCTCATAATCTCTATCTTTCTCCTTCTTAATTTATCTCACTGAATTATACTTTTCGAATCATATCTTTGCTCCCTAATCTTCTCCACTGCTGCTAATAATTCTACTATCGCTATCACTCTTGGATTTGAACTGACAGTTACGTCTCTGTGCTGACGTGATATGGCAACCTGAACTGATGTACTTACGTACGAAGTTCTGCGTTGTATTTGTCTGTCTGCATATTACCTTAAAACTTTATACAACTGCTTCGGGAAATTTAAACCGTGAATGGATTATAAATAATTAGAAACAGATGAACTTAGCCCTTTACCTTGATCTAAAGATGGCAGAAAGCATAAGCAGTACAAATTGTTGTAGAATACTTACATTTGATTCACGGCAGCTTTCAGTCTGTTGTAAATAAAATTCATATGTACAACAGAATACGGCGGTTGATAAGTTAATCATCTAGTCACCGCAGTATTATTTTACCTAAATCTGCGGTAAACCATCATAACACATCAGGACCTAATGGGTTGCAAGAATAAAATAAAGATGAAACACAAATTTGAAATTGCTAACACCAAGTTTGGTTTATTAGTATTTAATACACTTTAAAAGTCAAAATGTAACTGAAGATTGTATAATCTGTAGTCGTAACCAACCATAATGAATACGATCTGCGCTTAGAAAAATGTAATGTGTAATCAGTATTTCAACATAAGTATGAGTGTCATGATGATTTGGTGTTTCTTGTAGCTTTATACACAGAGGCACATAACCATTTATGCGTCACAAATTTTCATATCTATAAACAGGTTGCGAAACTGCCGGCATGCCGAGATCGAAGTAAGTAGTTTTCTGAGGGAGCACTCGAGTCCCTGTCCTACGGGTCTAATCCACAAGGCAGTAAAGCAACACAAAGAGATGCATTTCCAAGGCAATCGGGGACCAGCAGTAGGTTCATACATTTGTTCCGTCAGAATCCTGGAGCCTATGTGCACTAACGGTTTGGTGTGAAGGTTTCCAGCTCTTCTAGATGGGTCTTCCGTACCCGAAAACCCATTTATTGTGTTTATTAGTGTCAACAAAATATATGCTTGTTAATATATATATGAGTACAAATTATTAGTCATCAACAGAAGACAGTGTAAAACGATGCGCTCGAGCGAGTTCATTATGACGTTAACATGTGTGCTACATTCGACTAACCTTAACAATATAATGAAACCATACTATCCACTCGACTAATTAATTAATTTCAAAACTACTAGTTCAAAACAAGCATCGTGAAATAACTAGACGGTAGAGAAAAAGGTAAGGTAAACGGATTAGGAAATTAGAATCTTCATCTCAATCCGTCTGCGGAATATGTCTGATGTTATTTCAGGGATCATTATAATATATATAAATATAATGTTTATAAACAAACCTATCCCATGTTTACTAAAATATAGGCGAGTCAAGATAATCGTCTACACATTTTAGCTGTTGAGATAATCTATCTCAGGTGATTACATACCAGTAACCATGCTAAGCCCAGAATAACGATAACCCTCTTTGTACCGCTAATTCTTGAATATTCCGCTTTAAAGTTACTTAGTTAAAATGGTTTAGGATGTAATAGAAGCGTTGTCTTGACAGGCTCCCACGACTAGTTTAATTGGATCAGTAAAGTCCCTAGATATAAACCTAGGCATATTCAGTGACAAAAAGAAACAACTAGGTTACCTAGCTCCGCTTGTATCCCCTCTGAGGCTACTGCTAGTCCCTAGCCTAGATAAAGTATGAGGGGTGAGCTTGTGATTAGCGACCTCATCCCATCACAATCACACAGGCCCGACTACCGCGTCAAGGTAGCAGTTACGGTCGGGCCTCATACTACAATTCCCATCTATTTCCTACTACCAAATGAGAATTGAAACAGCAATCGCTTTAAAACTCTGCCAATAACTAGGAATCATTCTAAATAAATAGAGAATGAAATACAGAAATAACCGGTCATAGGAAATCTTAAGAAACTTTAAACATCCTCAAAACTTACTAGACATGTTTGGAAATTGTAGTCCGAGTAAAAGTTGTATACATTCACCGCTATTATAGTCTATTGCACTTTGTAGAATTGAACAACCAGAGCTACCATTATTTTAGATACAGGGACTGCCTAAACATTGTGCGAGACCGAAAGACTATCCCGAATTGCTGCAGAGATGAAAATATACAATATGGAGGCTCTTAGAACCAGCAAAGCACATCGGACGCAGGTTGGACAACTGAGCTGCTGTTATACTCCGACTATTAAGAAGAAAATGCCTCACAAGCAGTTGCACTAATGCTGTCCACACAAGCACAAAATGCACTGACAGCATGGGAATCTCGTGGACTCAGGATCATCAAAGCATCCTTCAAAACAAAGAAAGACGGCATTGCAATGAATGTAACTCAATGCTATAAGCCGCCAAATAACTACACTGGAGACTGAAGAGATCAATTCTATGAGAGGCTGTGGTCAATCTTCTAAAGATGCTCATCAAAATATTTGACGATTCTGGTGTAAGACCTAAATGCCATGGTTGGCCAGGACCACAAAATGGACTGCTATGAAGAATCGAAAACAGTGTTAGATTTTCAAAACTATGTGCGTTCTAAATAAATTGTCATCGGTGGTATCATATTCTCACACAAAAACATAAGTTCCACTCTTTTCACGATCTTCTCAATTGAGAGGAAAACACAATAAAGAACAATTGGAAATGGATCAAGGGGGCAATCACTACAACATGTCGCGAGGTTCCGGGACAAAAGAAGTACCATCACAGAGAATGGCACTCTGTCGGTACTCAGGAAAAAATTCTGGAAAGAAGGGACAAGAAAGCTGCAATCAACACCAGCCGAACAATAGCAGAGATAGTCAAGACACAAGCTGAATACACAAATGCAAACAAGGAAGCTAGATCAGCATCAGAGCCGAAATATGGAAATATGTGGTAGATGTAGTTGTAGAATCCAATTTGAAGGCATTGTTTTAGGAAAATCCCTGCATATACATATGTTCTTACTGACTCTTTCTGAGCTACATTTTGGTTCTCTGTTTAATCCCATTTTGAGATGTTTATACGTGTATTTTTTTTGGAGTTTCTATGTTGTCTACTGAACTGAATTATTCTGTTTAACTTGATACTTAATAGTGGAGTTAGTAATATCGGATTTGAAATCCTTGGCTGCGAAACTTGAATCTGGACTAGGAGGGTGCAATTTTGGACCTGTACGGAAGCATTCTTCAAGACTTGTAAACACACTGGTTGAAATTGTGTTAAAGAACAGTGTATTGTTGTTTTGAAGCGTTCCTTACCCAGATAAATTGCTTTCTTCTTGTGGTAACTGGGAAGGGCGCGTATCTAAATTTCTTCGACTGTTCTTCCGAATTCAGAAGCCACTCAAAAATCGCCAACATAACAGTGAAGGCAGAAAGGGCTGCAAGAGAAGCAATCTTGAAAAGATTATACGATACGACAAAGAAGCTTGCTGAAAACTTTCGCAAACAAGAACAGCCAGTGAAAAGCAGGGGAGGGAAGTTGACCAGCAAACCTGAAGAACAGCAAAACAGGTGTTTAGAGCACTTTAAGGAAATCTTGAATTGTCCGGCCCCACTGAACTCGTATAACATCCACAGATCTCATGCTGACTAATCAATACAACAGCATGTCCATGAAAGCTAGATGACTCCTCATTGCACCTAGGGCACTGAATGTTAACCTTCTCAGTAGTGCCATCACTGTGGCTGACGCTTTTGCCACTGACGCCTACATTCTCCACGCTCAACCATCTAATTTCGTCTTGAAGTGAAGTACTCTATGAAGCTACATTGGTAACCGCAACCGGAGAAACTGCACTACCTGTAGTGATTCCACTCTCGTTACCATCTCCTTTATTATTCACATCTATCACACTATTAATAGACACATGAGGTTTCACCTCAACCTTGACGTTGTTGTTGTCCACATTGATGTTCCGACTCTTCACAGTTAGTGACGAGTTGCGAGATAGTTCACGTGCAGGCTTTAGTCGTAAGCCACCACTTCTGCCACTTACACAAATACTATCAATATTGCTATGACTACTTGGACTAGTATGCAACCGTCCATCAGTTGACTGTAAACAGACATCAGCAGGACGCCCTAAGCTGCTATTATCTTTCGCTTCACTATTATGATACTCCGTTGGACTGGATACAGTAGCCGGCAGACATCCTGATCGCGCAGCAACATGAAGTGCTGTGTCACTGTTTACACTTGCTATCCTAGGATCAGCTCTAGGTCGTGTCAAATAATTTACCCTACGTGAAGGGTTCGGAACATAAGCTTCGTTCCGTAAAGTCAAACCTGTTTCGTCCTTATTTATATTCCCTGCACCCATTAACCTCTGTTTGCTCGAATCCAAATTACCATTCCTTGCATTTCGAGCAGCTAGGAGACTTCTACCATTACATTTACAAACAATGTGGTCGCCAGTACAGATGCTACAGCTGAGCCTTACGGTCGATACATTCGCATGTTTCGATTGTAGGTGGCAACTCATCTTCACGTCCCGTCCTATTTTTAGTCGATTGGCCGGCCGACCGAATCTGCTACCAGCTATTCTTGCTCGAGCTAATACAAATTCAGTAAGTTCGGTGAAAGTTGGTTCTCTATCCTGCTAGGTCTGCCCACTGGACCTGCATACGATGAGGTAGAAGCTTTACTATCCGCTCCAAAGTTACCAAGGAATTCAACTCAGAGGTATAATTCAGCTGCTCTAAGATCATAGAGCATTCTTGCATACGTATGGCTAAATACGACAGGTGTTCTGGATAGTTGTAATCAGCCCTTCCTGGCTTAAACAACTCTTCTAAAATTTCCCGGGCTATCAAGTGTGTTTGACCAAAAAGCTGCGTTAAAATGTCTTTAGCCCTTTTGTAGCCTGATGAAGACTCAATCATGAGACACTCTTCAATGGCAGGCTCTGCCTTACCCTCGCAGTAATGGACTAGATACAATGGACGCAGGTTGTCATCATCAACTCTAGGTTCTATAAACGTTCGAAATTGCCAAACAAATTTAAAATAATCACGGTGTTGACCATCAAAATAACTTAATTCAACCTTTGGCAATTCTAAGCCTACTACCGGTGTCTTAGACATCAGATCTTTCCCAGGTACTTCAAAGTTCTCGTCCAAACTATGTCCCTTAGTGCCCTCTAACGATGGCTTACGATAATAAGTAACAAACATAATTTCATTCTTATCAGAGAGTGAACCCTTTAAACATGAAGAGTCATAGGGAACTTGCTTTTCATTCCGTGATTCTTCATAGGCTCCATCCCTGTGCGTGTTTGGCTTCTTACGAGAACTCATTATAGCACTTGAAATTCAGTCGAAAAGAAACTCCAAATTATTGATACAATAATGATCAGATATTAGAATTCACCGGTTCCGTCTCTTCAATTATTGTTGAAAATAAGATATCCAAAGGGTTTTTCTCCAAATATTGTTTAGAACTAGTTGACAGTAAAATATCCAACGGATCCTCCTCCGAATGTTGTTTTGAACTGTAGAAGTATTTATTACTCTCGCAGTGAGCTCGGAATCCAAAAGGTGTAGGTTCACACGCATCTCGCCCAGTCCAAGTCCAAAAATGATAATTCTGGGAAAGAACGATTCTACTTTTAATCAAAAAGGGAAATACAGACAATGACCAAAACACTATTACACCTTCGAGTCTCTAATCACAACAGCAAGTTCCGATACTGGAAGAATAACTGCTTCCAGTTAGTTGCAACGAGCTGCTGCTAGAGTATCAAATCCAAAAATGGCTGTAGCCATATTAATTATCAATTTTAAACAACACATATATATTTCAGAAGGAAACAGAAACTTCAATATAAGTACGAGATATAGAAATAATAACAAGATACAAATGATAAAATCCCAAAATGGGATCAAATGGAGTACCAAAATATCGAACAGAAAGAGTCAGTCAGATCATAACACAAATATATATACATGGAGGGATTTTCCAAAAACAAAGCCTTCAAAATAGATTATACAATGTAGCATCCTACTACTATGTTCAAGAAAGTAGTCGGCCTGTCTATAATAATAATAATAATAATTTATTCTCAAATAACTACGTTACAAGAGTTACGCCAGTTTACATGCTAGATCAAATTGTCACAAATGCTTTCACAATTGCTGTAAAGTTATAGCAGTTAAATTAAGTATGAGTCATTTTCTGTTTGCCTATTTACACCATGTCACTGACAGAAACAGTATTATACAGCCTCATTTTCAATAGTAGAGTACAAAAAAGGAAGGAAGATGCACAATAGGTTCTTTTGGCGATTCGCCGAGATCAATAGCGAATTTGTTGGGAAAGGTCATATGGAACGCGCTTGATACGAGCTGTGATCCAGACAGTCATGTACATTGGGTGCATGTTCCCTAGAGTCGCCAAGGATTTCCCACCGTGAACGAGGTTCTGAAAAGGAGAAGAGAGAGAGAAAAAGGCAGCAGTGTGGCAAGTGTATATATATAACCAAAGCACTACTTAACCTGTCATGTT